AGCGCACAAAAAAACTATATACTAAAAAACTATTGACAAATATTTTTGACAGATCTTTGACAATCGTTTTACAAATATTTATATCATTTTTTTTAGAGTGAGTGCACATCCTATCAAAAGTGGAGTTAAATACTAAATTAAAAATATTAATAAATAGTTTTATATGTTCGAATGGATTTAGTCGAACAGCCTCAACATTGACGTGTTGAAAAAGTCGTTGTTCGTGACTCTGTAGCATAATAATTTCCTTTAAAATAAAATATTAAATAAAGTTATTAATATTTTTGATACATCCCTGGCTGACTACATGACCAGCGACCCAAAACTATTTGCTTCTCAAGGTTTTTTCCGTATCAGCTAAAAGCCTACCGCGAGGTACGAAGTTTGACACAAGAAGATGGGGGCATATCTAACGGCCATAAGAAGAAATGCTGAAGATGCTAAGCGAGTAAAGACTTCATGAGACTTGTTAAAATACCGGCAAACTTTTCCTTAATTCCATGTGTATGGTGAGAAGAAAGTAATTTGATAAGATGCAGTGTGGCAAATTTTTTAATATGAAGCTGTTACCTGTTGTTAAGGAATATAATAACGGCGATAGTTGTTCTTCATAGGCAAGTACTAAGCATATTGGCGGGGGAAATTCAATAGCCGAGTTTGAAAGATCACCCCTTGTTATCATCCAGGATAATATGAACTCTAGTTGTGGTATTTGAAATAATTTAAAAATAAAAGCGAAACGTATTCGAATAAATCAATAAAGTAGTTGACGACTTTTATTTGCCAATTATTGACCGATAAAACCTCTGCTATTCAACCATTGAATATATTTTAAATTTAATCAACGGTCGTCTTTTTTGCTATATATATATATATATATATATATATATATATATATATATATATATATATTATTTGTAGTCTCAGCAATTGGTCTGATAATATATATATATATATATATATATATTATTGTGATATTTAAAGTCTTGGTGCGCCAAGCAATTAATTAGCTAATTAATTAATCAACTAATTAAAATTATTTAATTGATATGATTATGACTCTATCACACTTTTTAATTCTCTTATCTCAGGGTTCTATTCGTGCTTCAATATCTATGCTTCACATGTGAAGGGTAAGGTCCAAAGAATACCGGAATAATAAAAAACACATATGATATAACACTATATATTGAAATAAAAATAATGAAATAAAGTTCACACTCAAATGTTTTCAATAAACAATATCTCATATAATGATTCTTAAAATTTTGTTCTACGTACGTGAACCTTCAAAATTAATGGTATAAACAATATTAGTTAAAATCTCAAAATCCCAATTATTATTCTAAATCTCCTAATCAAAAATTTATATCTTTTCTAAAGTAATTGTAAAAATTGTGTTATCAATAAAAAAAAACTGCAGAAAAACAAAACGATCTCTCTCTGATGATGGGTGGTCCAAATCCTTGTTTCTGGTAGCCTATATTATCTATTCTTAGCAGCTCCCTAGGTAATCAGCAATCTTACAACAAATTGTTGCAAGTATATCGTCCTTAATGATCTCCTTCAAAAGCACGAATCATTCAAATTATGATAGCCTTTCTCCTCGCGATAAACTGAATCTCTCGTTGGCCCGAGTGAAAAATGACTCTTGGAATATCTTCTCTTTACGATAAACTGAATCTCTCGTTGGCCTGAACAGTGACTCTTGGAATATAAGTAGAAAAATATGACTTACAATATTTTGCTGCTTCAGCTTCTATCAAATACACTAACTCCACAAAAACTCACTAACATTCAACATTACTGCTTGCTACCTCTCAGGAACCACCAGAGAACAATGACTGTTCGTCTTACACACTTGGAAAATCAACTGACTATCTTTTTTTTCTTCCGAAACTAACTAACGTCTCATTCTCTAACCAATCATCCCACCTTTTTCAATTTCATCCAATCAAAACGCATCATCCATCTCCCATTTTTTCATTTCGATAACAAACAAATTTTTACCTATAATTATAAAATTTCCTAAAACTTATTTACAAATAATATTTTTCTACAATTCTTAAAAACTAACAAAAACCTATCTTTCTAAAATCTATTCTATTGTCCTAATCACTGCACTAATGTATTTGGAAAACCCAGTTCAATTGTCTTTTATTTCACTTAAGATTATTCACGTCATACAAATATATTTTAACAAAGAAAATAATTTATGCATATCTTACGTTTTGTTAAATACAGGTAATCCAAAATTAAAAGACTTTCATTCTTCGAAATGTTTGTAGTTTATTGTTTGACTTATCTGAATTATTTTAATGTTTTTGAACTTTGAAATATTTTAAGCAAACCAATATTTTTCTCGATTTTACATATCATAACAATATATATATATATATATATATATATATATATATATATATATATATATCGTCGTCAATACAAGAAAAACTCGTAACTCCATTTTCCTTAATTTTTCAGGAGAGCCTAAAAACAGTAACATTTTCACTGATATCTTTTATTTGATAAAGAAGGACGATTAAACAACTATATTTTGAGCTTTTAGGTAATATTAAGCTGAATTATATCAATTTTAATTTCAAAATCTAGCAGATATAGCTAAAAATACAGAAAATATGGAGTTACAGGTTTTTCTTCTTTTGGAATGAGACGTGCCTATGGAGTTACATGGCATTCTTTGTAACGCTGGATTGGAAAAAATTAATAAAAAGCATTAGTTATCGATTTATAAAAACATATCTGAAACACATAAAAATATCCTAATAATGAAATACAGACCAATACTTTTGAAAAACATTTAACATAAAATTTAGTGTTATTTTATACCTACCTTAGAAGTAAATAGCCTCACTTTTTAACAATAAATAAAATTTTAATCTAAAATAAATCTAAAATAAAATCGCATAAATATGTACAAAAACAAGTGTAGTACAACAACGATAGCACTTAAAAAAAAATCAAAGTTAGTGAGGGAGATTGACATAAAATGAGTGGTAATCGAAATCAAGCGTATTTTTTAAATACTGAAAATGTTCGAATCTGTCTTTTTTTTAATGGTATTCTATTTGTATAAAGCTTCGGCAGATCTGCGAAATTCTTGGGTATCACATTCTGATTTATTCGACAACACAGTTCAATCCAATTTTCACTAAATCCCAACTTGTAATGAATACCTTGTGGTGAATATTTTGTAGCTCTAATATTTGTCACAACTGCATCACCCTTTTTTACCCGGTCGGATACTGCTTACATAGTTTACTGCTCTGAAGTCCTTAAGAAAATCATGGTATAGTCGAGTTACTACAAATAGATTTTCCCTCCGCGCTCTTTTGCATATTTGTATGTAATCACCAGGCACATTAATATCGCATCCTCTTAATTGTCTCTCAATTGTACTGTGCATCATGTCGGCCTCCATCTGGGTGTGCCCTTTCTCAAGGTATTTTTGTATAACTGTTACCTTCTGCTTTAAACAAAAGTTTGAAGTTGCATTAGCTAGAGTAACATTACGATTTTGGTAAGTACACCTATCGTTATAATTATTTCACGTACGTTTTCCTCAAGACAACTCCCTTCAGTATATTTTTCTAAAATACATACGATCACACTAGCAATTTCGGCACTGGTAAGATTTCCCTCCGACTTATCCCAAAGAAAACAATGCCCTTGTTTTGTGTGTAAGTTATAGAATGTGAAATTGTGGATTGTCAACTTTTTTATCATTTATATGTCAACTTAGGGAAGAAACATTGGACTTAGGACATATAAGGACTGCCTGTAAATCTATTGTCAATACAATGCTTTCACTGTTTTTACCTTTAATTTTCTCAAGTCACCCTTCTTGTGTTTTCAACTAATGTTCACTAAATATTTCTTGATCAAGATTTCCTGTTTTAAAAAAGACACATATTTCACACAAAAATTTTTTTTTAGTCTATACAAAGCCAACCTCTTTTCCAGGAAAGCGTTTTTAAAAGAAGATAAAGAGAGACTGTTGATTCGTTTTTCTAGGTACCATTCCTTTTTGTAAATATGGTAAAGTTGACATTTGCTTTGCTATAATAGTTCTAGATATAATTTACTAGTTGATTTCCTGCAATAATGCGATTCCATTTTCGGCAGGCTATCTAAAAAACTATAACGATTGTCCAACTCCTTCTTGTGAAGTCCTTTAGGCACTTGTTGTGGTTCATTATCCAAATTTTCTGTAATAGCAGAATCATCTTCTTGTTTGCAATTCATAACAAACCAATCTTTAAGGCCCAGAGTTGACAAAAACATTTTTTTGCATACCATTCGTTTATCTTCTCCAATTTTCAAATATTTTAATGTCTTAGACCTCCGTGATACATCTTCATTTTTTCTATCCCTCTTCCGTTTTGGTGCTTCAAATACTACCAACGTTTTAATATACATTCTCTTTTCTGTCCATGTCTATGTCTACAACTTATTAAAAGCATGTTCCAAAACAACAAATCCCTCCAAAACAACAAATTAAATCAACGGCAATAATCACTTAACAGACTTAACAGAAAATGCGCGGAGTTACGTGTTTTACAAACATAATTTTTTGACAAGGGAGATACCTGCTTTTCTAGTAAACATTTTAAAATTAGAAATCTAAATTTAAATGACGTATTATTTGTCGGATGGCTAGAATAGGCGATTTGCTAAAAGTTGGCAGTGAAATATCATTTTAAGTAAAAATTGGAGTTAACCGGTTTTCTTGTGTCGACGACGATATATATATATATATATATATATATATATATATATATATATATATAATATAACAGCCACATTAATTAGTCATTTTGCGGTTGCATTATCGCAGGGAATACAAAGTCTAATAATAGTTTTTAATTAGGTGAATATTTGAGATAATTAAAAAATTTTAGTAATGAACATATTTTTATCCCTAACCTACAACAAAACATTCATAATACCTGCTAATAACAAAGGGTATATAAAGGTCTGCATTTTAAAATTAGAGCTTATACTGTCACTGTAGTTTAAAATCATTACTACAATGCATAAATTCGTATTAGCTGGTATTGCTGTTCTAACTATACAGGTAATTTTTTTTCTACTCTTTTTATATCATAAAATTTTTGTTGTATTTTCTCTTCTGTTTCTCAAAGATGTTTCGTTTTATTTAATATTTACCACCATCACGGTTTTTGGTTTTTCTAAAAAATTTCTATAGGCATTTCGTTTTTTCGTTTTTAAGTTCTATTGATTTCCTTGAGACCAAAGGCAATCATAACCTTTTTAATTATAAATATGAAATTAACAACATTTTTTATGATGTATATTGATTACTATTTAATTAATTGGATGATAATCAAAAATTGCCGACAACTAAATATTGGAACATTTTTTGCTTTTCCTCAGATGTCTTAAATTTTATCAGCCTAGCGCAAAGAAGGCTTGGAAATCAAACATAGGAATAGATAGTGCGTTGCAACAATATTGTCACGTATGATTTAAGTATGAATAATCAGCAACCGTCCGTTTTCTTATGAGTAAAATATAATAATGACACATGGAAAACCTACGGATCCAAAAGTTCGAGAAATTATTATTCATCAAAACCATAAAGGGAAAACAATGGGTGAAATTTCCAGTGAATTGACTATAGCAATAATTACTCTGTTTAATATACGTAAGAAATGTAATGAAACTGCTAGTATTGATGTTCTCAGCAAAGCTCAGGTCGTCCAAAAACTGTTTCTTAAAGAAGTAGTGCAAGGCATTTAATTAGAATAAGTCGGGAAGAAGATAGTCACTATGAGAAGTAACTGCTAGGTGAAATAGAGAAACAAGGATGAATTTTTTCAGAGAATGCTGTCGCAAATATATCTACAAAAGCGGTCTTGGTTTTTATAAAGTATGTTTTATAGGTTTTTCTTTGAGATATAAATTTTATATTTTTTAATTTTTTTGAGTAGGCCAAAGAAAAACCATTTTTGTCGCAAACTTAAAAAAGGAATCGTTACATTAGGGCTATACAAAAGCAAAGTTGATGTCTGTGTGAAAGATTATAAAAAGTGTGTGATTATGGAAAAACAGAAACATTCAATAAGGATTGTTTCAAAAGGACTGTGAAGTTTCAACAGGTCATCATGAAGTGGGGTTGTATGTCGGCCAAAGTTTTAGAAACTTTGCATTATATTAGGGCCATAGTAAACGCTGCCAAATATCAAGATATCCTTGAACATTCGTGTCTACCAAGTGAGGCAAAGTTATATCCAACCAAAGATTTTAGGTTTCAGGAGTACGGAAACACATGTCATTTGGCTAAATCTACCAAAAAATGGATGGGAGAACATGGCATTAAAGTTTTGTCGCTTACTTCTAGCAGCCCGGATCTTCCAATAGAGACACATTAACAGAAAATGAAACAACGTCTAAGAATAAACCCTTAACTAACCTACCACAACTACGTGTCAAATTGCAAGAAATATGGGAAGCTTCACCCCTGAATTATGTGAAAAGCTAGTGGATACAATGCCTAATAGGACTTTTTCAAGCTAAGGGCGACGTTACGCCTATTTTATTTTTTGATTTAAATCAATTTAATTTTAATTTGTTAAAAACCTATTGTTCCAATATTTAGTTGTCAGCATTTTTTGGCTATCAAACAATTAATTATATACAAAACAATATAAAATATATAATTAAACTGTAAAAGTAATTTTGTAAGAAAATACCTGCTTGTTCCAACATATAGTTATTAGGGCTTGTAATAGATTAACATCATGTTTAAAGTCTCATTTATTGTCGACACCTGTGCGAAGGTTTTCCTTTTTTAAAGCGATGCTTCTAATAGATAGTAGTCAAGCACAGTGTTATAGGTATTAGTTAGCAGGGTTCCATGGTTCATTGTATCGTATGCCACCGTAAGGTTTATCAAGCCTACCATCACTGTCACTTTCTGCTTGAATCTCTCCTCTATGTATCGTGCTATGTATAGTACTTCGCCTCTGCAGACTTTACCTGGATGTCAATTTACTGTGGAATTAAGGCGTATCTAGTTTGTACAGGTGATATAGCGGGGTTATATCAGACGGTAGCTACTCGGTAGTTCGCAGTTTTTTTCGGGTTTCAGAAGGGCTACCACTTTTGATTTGGGGCCCAATTTTGGGTATCTGGTAGGTAGAACGACAGGTATTAAATACGTCAAGCACCCATTTTCTCCCTTTGATCTTTAGTAATTTATCTGCATTGTTAGAATTTCATTCTCCCCAGGTAATTTTTCCTTCTGTATAATGTATATCTTTATTTAAGCACTACGGTGGTAAATTCGTTTAGCAACAAAGTACGTTAATTTTTTCGGTTTAAAATTAAATATATGTTTAGAAGGTATTTTGGGGGCCTTTACAGGTATATTTTATGTTTTATGAAGTTCCCTAATATTTGTTTACCACTTACATGTAGACTTCTGTTTTCAGTTATTGCAGGTCATCATTGAATGCACCAGTTTTGTTAAACTCTTTTGCACTCCGCATAAATTTAGCATTAATAGTTTTAAAATTAGGAATAGTGTCTTAATCCTAAGGTATACATATTTTTACCCAATAAAATTTTTTTTTCAGATTGCTTGTATCAACAAAACAAATGCCGATGAAAATGATATCTACCAGGAATGTCTAAAGTCGAACGGTCTTGAGTCCGATTATCTGGAAAAGCTAAAAGAGGAAGAAATTGACAATAAAACACTCTGTTTTACTAAATGCACAATGGAAAAACTAAACCTAGTAGATGAAAATGGAGAATTAATATTGGAAAACAATATCAAGATTATCGATGATTCTAAAAAAGGCGATGACAAAGCCAAAAAAATTGCAAAAAACTGTATGAGTCTTATCACCACAATTTCCACCTGTGAAGATACTTTGAAACATAATGCATGTATGAGTCCTATATATTTGGCTTCTGATAAATAATATTATATACATAAACAACTATTGTGATTTAAATTAGTAACGTAATTATAATTTTTCTGTATACAAAATAAATAACTTTATTCATAATGCATTAACCTTTAAATATAATTTTCACCAATGTCCACTTCAAAAATTCCTTATGACCCTTACAAATATCAAATGATTGATTGTGGTTACCAGGTCTTTGTTTGTGCCCAGTGTAACACTAAATTTTTACTCCGTTAAACTTTTACTTTAATATAATATTTTAACGGTAAATTTTTACTCTGTGTAATAAAATTTCAATCAATCAAATAGATAAAAGAAATAATAAATAAGACTTACTCACAATCAGTTTAATTTAACTATCTAGACGACCGGTTTCGCTTTCTACAATATGCAAAGCATCTTCAGGTCTCGATACAAAGTTAATTAAATGCTGAAATAATAAAACCCATATTATGGTGTTGTCTTATAAAGATAAACAAAAGATGAATTATACAAATTACAGTAATTATGCCAATATTACGTGTCTGTGTTTTTCTAAAAAAAGAATAAACTGATTAAACAGACAAAGTAAGACCCACAAATTGGTATAAATAGTCTATTGCATTGTAATAAATTAGTAAATAAACAAAACATTACTTACGTGGCAGTACACTATTAATTAATGGTTGGAAGAACATAGTTAAAATTATCCTATATTGCTGAATGGAGACTTTCAGTTTTTACTATCGTAATTGTTTGACAAACCATGAGGAAGTTTCTTAAGGAGATGGATTTTATCCAATGAAGTAGAAAATAGGTGTAGTGTGATTGTTTGTTAAATCAAAGTGATGTTCTGTATTATTTAATTCTTTAAAAGTTATTAATATTTATTTAAGAGATATATTCATGAAATGTGTGTTATTTATTGAAATTTTATTAAGGTGACAGTTCTACGACAATGAACGAAATTAGATGTACAATTGTGTGGGTGTGCAAATTTTTTTAACTTGTAATTTATCCAATTTCTTTGATAAAGTTCAATTAATAACTTACTGTTATATGACAAATGATTGTAAAGTTAAGTATGTAAAAATTATTAAAACTAAAACAATTAAGGATACTTAGGGACAAACAGAACACACTTAAAAAGGACAAAATAGACATTAAATTTTAAAAAGGGGGACTTAATTGCACTACATCTCTAAATTGGAGACTATGAGTTTTTTGTTCTTCTTCTTCCTTTATTGGGTAATATCCCAGGGGATAATTTGCCCAGCTAATTCAGGGGGTAGGGTGTATTCTCAACTTGCTCTAGACAATCGAATATGCCCATATAACACTAAATTGAAATTATTTTATATTGAATGAACACAATGTCTAAACTTCTTCTTCTTGGGCCAAACAGTTAGTATAGGAAAGTATATTCAACACAGGATAAAACTTTTCTCGCTTGAGGGTAGCAAACCAGTCTTTTTCTACATAGTCTTTTTTGATGAGGTCCTCAGAGTTCCACAGCAAACTCTTCTGCAGCTATCTACTTAATTCACAGCTACTTTACTGTGGACTGTCCAAGTTCCTTTTTTTTTATCTTCTACCAACGGATGATAGAAAACCCAGGTGTAAAAAAAGAGAATAATTTGTAAGTTTGTGTTATAGTAATCAACAAATTTAGTCTTTGAGGATTAAGATTGGATAGGAAAGAGCATATCTCTATAGGAGTTTGTAGTTTTGTTTTAACCAATTCTTTGTAGAGGTCAAAATTTGGAGAAAAGTTTATTGTACACTCTAGGATAAATTGATTCAGAGATCCAATTTGACCACATTCACAGTACGGGTTGTCCTGAATACCTATGCGGAATAAATGAACGGGAGTGGAACAATGTCCTGTTCTCATTCTAATTACTGTGGTGATATGCCTTCTGTCTTTATAAGAAAATTGATTGAACCATGGTGATTTGTTGAGTTTTTTGTTGTCTATTAGATCTTAGAGGTAAATAGGTTAAAGTGTGACAGTTCTTCTTCTATTTCTCAGTACTGTAAGTTAAGTTAACCAGTTTTTTGAAGTAAACAGATATTAATGAATGTCTCTAAATTTTTTTTAAATATAAAAAGTAAGTTAATATGTTTAATATTGGCATAATTTTAACAATCATTATATAATTAAATTTAAATGTAACAATCTGAATAATTAAACTGAATAATTTCTATTTTAACTAACTTAATTCAGTGAAAATTACAGAACAAACTTAAGTGATTATTTGGTAATTAAATATGTACGGTTGTAATCAAAATCCAAAATAAGGATACACATTTTTTTTGAAAAACTATTGTTGGTGCGAGTGAGCTATCTATCATGGTATGTGTAAATATTTTATTTTAGTCTAATATGTTAGTATGGAAACTAGAGTAATAAGTAGATAAATTGTTGATGGTAAATTAATTGACAAATTCAAGAAATTGACTGAACTATTACGAAGTCAATAATTAGTTCTTCGTAATAATGAATTGTCATACAACTGTCACCTTAATAAAATCTCAATAAATAACACAAATTTTATTAATATATCTCTTGAATAAATGTAAATAACTTTTAAATAATTAAAGAATACAGAACATCACTTTCATTTAACAAACAATCACACTACACATATTTTTTACTCCATTGGATAAAATCTATCTCCTCAAGAGACTTCCCCGTTGTTTGTCAAACAATTTCAATAGTAAAAACTGAAAATCTCCATTCAGCAATACAGGAGAGTTTGAACTATGTTCTTCCAACCATTAATTAATAGTGTGCCGGCATGTAAGTAATGTTTTGTTTATTTACTAATTAATTACAATTCAATTGACTATTTTATACCAATTTGTGGGACTTACTTTGTCTTCTTAAACAATTTATTAATTTTTTAGAAAAACCACAGACATGTAATATTGGCATAATTACTGTAATTTATATCATTTATCTTTTGTCTATCTTTATAAGTCAACACCCTAATATGGGTTTTATTATTTCAGCATTTAACTAACTTTGTATCGAGACCTGAAGATGCTTTGCATATTGTAGAAAGCGAAACCTGTCGTCTAGATAGTAAAATTAAACTGATTGTTAGTTGAAATGGTATTTCTTTTACCTAGTTGAAATGGACTCACACAAGCAACACATTTATGATTTCAATCAATCAGTTTATAACGTTCTACGTCGTCTTCTGGTTTCCAGTTTTAATTTATCTAGGCCGTTCCAAAGGTTTTCCTTAACTCCCCTTTCCCTTAAGTCTTTATCGATTTCTTTTCTCCGAGTTAATCTCGGTCTACCTTGCTTTCTTTTTCCATGCACTGTCCAGTTTAATACTCTTTTTAGTATTCTGTATTTAGCCATTCTTTGGACGTGCCCATACCATTTTAGTTGATTTATTCTGATGTTCTCTGTTATATTGTGCTTAACACCCATAATTTCTCGTATTATTTCGTTTCTCACTCTGTCTTATCTTGATCATCCAGCCGCTCTTCTCCAGATGTCCATTTTTGTTGCTTCTAATGCTTTTATGTTTTTTCTTATTAGTGGCCATGACTTACTACCTTATGTAACAATGCTTTTTATAATGCATTTATATATTTTGTCTTTGTTTTCTTTCAAGATTGGTTTGTCCCACAGTACACTGATTAATTGTCTAATGGCTTGTCTTCCCTGGGTATTTCTATGTCTAATTTCTTCGTCTAATTTGCCTTCGTCTAATTGGTTATTTGCATGCCTATATGTTTGTATTTTTGACAGTGGTTTACTTCTTGCTGTATTTCTTCCAAGATTAGATTTTGTTGAATTCCCCCAATAAACATGTATTCACTTTTCTTAATATTTACTTCCAGCCCTAATAGTTCGTATTCTTCAATAAGTTTACGTATCATATATTCGAGGTCTTCATAGTTTTGGGCCATCACTATCTGGTCGTCTGCAAAACTCAATGTGTACAATACGCTTACTCCGAGTAGATCTTAAACAAAGTAGAAGACACGCAGTATCCTTGTTTGAATCTTTTGCTGATAGTGAAGCTGTTGGATACCTTTTGACTTTTCTTTATTTTACTTGTGTTGTTCTTGTAGAGGTCTTGAACAGCCTTGATTAAGGTTACACTAATATTTGTTTTCTCGACAGCTTCCCAGAGTTTTTGTTGTGGAACACTACCATAAGCTTTTTTAAGATTTACGTAGAGAAGATGTATTGGTTAATTTTATGCTACTTTTTTTCGATTAGCTGGGTAACAGTAAACTGATGGTCAATAGTTGATCTACCTGCTCTAAAGTTGGCCTATTCTTTAACCTCCATATCACAGATTTTACCTACCATTCTCTTTTTAATGAGTTTCCCGAAAACTCTCGAGAGTATGCTAAGGACTGTAAATCCTCGATAATTGTCACATACATAACTTCCCTTCTTATGTATTGTCGTGATAAACGATGTCCTCCAATCCTCCGGTATACTCTCTTCGTTAATACATTTTTGGTAACCGCTGGCTAGCTACTTATTTAATTTGCTTGTACCATACTTGAGTAGCTCAGGTGGGATATTCCCAAAGCCTGGTGATTTTCTATTCTTTAATACTTGGCATACTCGTGCTACTTCTTTGTCCTCAATGCTAATTGGAGAAGCTGTTGTATGTAGTTGCACCTCTGATTGTGGTTGAGGTGTTTGCAAATATTTTGCCCTTTCTTACGCCAGTGGATTTGCAAAGTATTTGTCTCATTTATCTAGGCTGATCGATGAGATGATGTCTTTAGTCTTGTCTTATCTAAAAAGTAATAAAATGTAGTGAGCATTTGTGTATTGTTAAATGTGGTTGTCTTGAAGTTATTAAATCTTTATTTACTATTTCTGATAACTAGTAAAAAATATCAACGTATACTATCAAGATCTTTATGGAATGCAGCGCAATATTTTTAAATGTCGCATTGCAGGAATAGAACAACTTAAAGAAGAAAAGCAATATAAAAGAGCTCCTTTTATAACTTCCAACTAACCGAATAAACACTGACTATATTCAATATAATAGTCAAGCACTGATATACGAGATAGAAAATAAGTTCGAAAAATCGGAAGAAACACATAACATCGAAGACCACTGCAA